CCCCAACATTCTGTGATTCTGTGATTTAACATCAGTTTAATGTTTTAACACATCAGTTTTAACAAAACATCAGTTTTGTTGAACTTAAAAATCCTTGACAATAAAGCCAGATGAAGGGAGGACAAAGATCTTGTTTTCACAGAACTTGCAACTTGAAACTGCCATTATAGTGAATCATATATACAGAGCTGCAAATATACCAGAGGATGGGACCTAGGAGAATATGGACAAGAAGTCGTCAACATGCATAAGGCAGTTGGCTGTGGAAATAAAGCAAGCTTTAGAACAAGTATTCTTGAGAGAGAAGTTGGAAAACAACAGTGACACAAAGCAGACTGACCCAAGAAGTGTTTTAAATCCTGGTTCTACACTGAAAAGTGACATGATAAGAAAGATGGTCCACGGGAACTTAAGACTATTAACTTATTGTGAGGCCAAAAGTTAAATGTACTACCTTTTATTTCTGTGAGACATGCAGGAACTGTAATGTTTTACCCAGGGTCATAGCTATACCCCGTTCTCCTCTGCAGGGTCACCTGTGCTCATTATTTTGAAAATACACTGTCAGTTCATTTTTTGACCCATGTAGGCAGAAGATGCCAGTGAAGTGTATGTGAGGGAAGTAATTACACTGCAGAATTTCTTTTACTATATATAAATTGGATAATTCCATTTTGATTGCTGTAATCCAAGTTGGTGCTGTATAACCAAATTATACTATGATTTCCAAAAAGCTGGTCATGAAACATTTGATATGAAATCATTAGAAGCAAAGTCCAGATGGTAATGTTCAGAAAGGATAGAGAAGGAACCAAATATTTTTCTTGGTTCTATCTTGTACTGTATGTCAATTAGTATTTGGTAGATTAAGAGGCAAAGCAGGTGAGGAGTGACATACTGTCAACTTGCAGGTAACCTTTGCAAAACCAAACTTTAAACCTCTTGCCTCCCCTCCTATATCTCCATTGCCAACACGACAATGCAACACCGAATTGAGAGAATCAGTGGGAACGGGAGGAGGATGAGGCAGGTTACAGCGGTACAATCCTATCATTGCTTTGGCTGGGTAAAAATAATCTTTTCATAGTCTGAAAGCAAGTTGTGCTTTACAATACCATAACAACTTTGAATTCCAACAACAAATAGCAGTGAATGCCTCACCTCACTGATCTCTTCCCTTCTAACAGTACCAAGATACATCATTCCTTGATTTGCCACTAGTAGAGGAAGCATGATGGCAGGGGAATATAACCCAAATCTGGAAGCTGCTATTGTTGGCAGTAGAAAGATTCCTCTTCATAACATATGGCAGGAAGAAAAAAAAAATAAATAAATTGGTGCTTTGATCAAAAGAAACACGTAAGATCTAGTTTAAGAGGTTGTATTTTAACCATTTTAGATGCTGTGCTATATTTAAGTCATGTCTGAAATATAGAGGACATTTTGCTTGCCCAGGTCAAAGGTTCCCTTTCATAATGTGCTGGTCTTCCTCTCCTCTCTCTCTGAGGTTTCTTTTCTCCTCCCACATTCCAGCGTTCCATTTTGTACCTCTCTGGCTCCATTCCTTGTTTCCCTCACAGTGAGCGGTGTTGCCTGTGCCCATTACACTGCTTGCACACTTAAGTCTGGTTTCAGTGGATTATTTGGGTTCTTTTGCATTAGTTTTGTTCTGATGCCATTACTGGGAATATGATGGCCACAAAGGGAAGAGCAAGACTTTCAAATGGAGAGGAATTCATGCCTAACCCATAGCAGATGAACTTCCTGACTTACTTGGAAATATCTTTGAGGAAGATATTTTGACAGAATGTTGAACAAAACAAAATACACAACCGTCACCTCCTCAAAAAGAAAAAAGGAAAAAAAAAAGGAAGTTGTATTTAGCAGGCCCACAGCAATACAATTAAGGCAATTATCCTGCCATCCCACACAGCTACAAATACTGAGCTTCCTATGCTTCCTTTGAAGGAAAATTTAGTCCCCAAATTCTGGAGGAACTCTGGACTGCAGAGATTCTGTCTCTTCTGTATACCTGGTGAACTTCTTGTGATGACTTCTTTCCTTTTAATTTAGATCATATGTAGCGGAACAGGAAAATATTATTTGTAAACATTAAAAAATGAGGATAAGTCTTGAAAATATTAAAAATTCTACTATTAGCAAATGGTGAAAGCTGGATATCTAAGAAAAAGCAGTCTTTCATATATTCTGGCTCCCTGACAAAAGCTAAAGAGCATGGGCTTCATTAAAACAGGCCATGGTTCTCACCCGTGGGGCTGTCTCAGGAAATAAGCCTTTTGCAATCAGCATGAAAATAGATACATGCTCAGAAGCTACTTCCCCAAAGTGTGAGAGTATCTCTCAACATCCTATATAAGCTCCAGTTTCTGGAAAACCTATTTCTCTGAAGAGCCTGCTTGGAAAGAAGTCCTTACAAGGACGTACTAGCTAAAGAGCAGGTAATACAAGAAAAATGGGTGTCAAGGATTCATTTAATTGTTTCAGAAACTCTTGATTAATCTGAGATTGTGTTCTTGTTCCATCCTATGATTATTTTTTTTCTCCATGCTGTTTCTTTATTGTTCTTCTTTTCCCACTTGCTCCTTCTCCTGATCTCATAGGGAGGGAAAGGAATACTTTTTAGCAATAAATACAGTTTCAGAGGTTACAAAAAGTATAATTACAAGAAGTAGAAACTCCCTTGTGATTAGTCTCAAAACATGTGCCAACCCAGCCATTGCACATGGGTACAATGATGAAATGCCAGCAGACAATTTCCAGTGGTTCCTGTGGCACACAAAGGTTCTGTCTTAAGGAATGCTTGTGTTGGAAATCAATCCTGAAGTAGTGAAACACAGGATTTCTGGGCCCATAACTTCCATTAAAGTTCCACCAAGATAAAGAAGTTCAGAAATTGTCTTTAGTATTTCCAGCGCAAAGATACCTAAAAACGCAACATCTCCGTGAACACTGAATCCACACCTTGCACGCACAGTACCAAGAACCATGTGAGATGCTGTGCCAATACCACACTTCAGAAATACAGCAACTGAAAAATTCCGTTTTCCTGCAGTAAGCAACTTCTCCAGTTGGAAATACATTCCCATTTTCCTTTTGTTACACTGGAGAGGCCTACATCGCAGCAGACTTGCCTTATGTCCTTTTATAAAAATCACAGACACTGCTGCTGATACCAGATTTGTAATTCTCAACCTTTCCGCCCTGTTGCAGCCAACTAAACAGCAACGTCGATGGAAAGTTCTTGGTGGATGGAGTACCCTTCAGCTGCTGCAACCCAAGCTCCCCACGGCCCTGCATCCAGTACCAGCTGACAAACAACAGTGCTCACTACAACTACGATTTTCTGACAGAAGAGCTCAATATCTGGGTGAAGGGGTGCAGAGAGGCCCTGCTGGATTACTACACAGCTATTATGAGATCCATTGGTATTGCAGCATTGCTTATTTGGTTGTTTGAGGTTAGTCTCATAAAAAGAGAGATTAATCTGTGTCAGATTAGAGTCTTCCTGCTCTCTAGGATGGGAAACAACTACAGTGTAACATACAAGAAGTGCCTCAGTATCTATATATAAAGTCCACAAGCACTTCCAAGTATGTTGCAGGACTTTCTTTAATACAGACAACTTTCTCAAAGTCCCCAGTGCTGAAGCAAATCTCACTGAAAATGAGAACTATGAGAAATTAGTTATCTAATTCTGTATATCTACAGAGCTTTCAATAGACTATGGCATATTCCTTTCCCTGAAGCACTTATGGGATCAGATACAGGATGATACATGCAGAGACACAACTGCAAGGAAATTAGGTGAGAAGGTCTGAGGATTGCTTTAACATGGAATACATTTTTTAGATGTAGACTAGGCTGCTTATTCTACAGTCAAAGTCAGCGTATCACTGGCAAGCACATCCACGTGCAGAGATGCACTCTTCCTGCTATTGTCTGTGAAGGAAGTTGTTCGGATGTTGTCATCCACAGATAAAGGACTCCCCAATGGCATAGGCTAAAATACAGTTTTCTTTCCTTTTTAGTAACTTTTAGTTTTCTGATTATTGGTCTATTTCATAAATATTAGCACTATAATTAAAATAGTTCACAATAGTCCTCAAGCAGTGCTAGATGGGGTGGTGCCAGAAGGAACAGGCCTTTGGCAGCACATGAGAAAGCTGTGAGCAGGCTCTCTGTGCTCCCTTCAGGGTTGATAAGCTGGGCACGGCAGGCCGATCTCAATTCCAGCAGAACTAAGATAGTGGGGCTTTTTCCTAAACTTATACTTGAGCCTTTACTATAGTCTGTCCTCTTAGTTTTAACGCGTTGGCATGTAGGACACACATGGCTTACATATGAATGATTAAACTCCTTGGAGAAAACACGGATTTAATCAAGGTCAGCAGAAAAATAATCCACAGAAATTAACTGACTATATATTTTTATTTTTTTTTCACAGTGACTGATTGTTCCATTAATTGATCATCATTCTACATCAGTTAGTTGCAGTCTCTGAGGCTGCAGTGTTCCCAAGTAATTCTAGGTATTTATGTGCTAATAACATGCAAGTGGGGATGATACCTGAAGAACGGAGAGAGAATCAATCAATCTCCTCCTGGTATTTTTCTTTCTAAAAAATGTAATTAATTGGGAGAGCAGTTAGTTATATTGCTGGGATAAAGAATCTGTCTGCTTTACTCAATATTAATTATTAGGCCTGTAAAAACACAAGTCAGAAAGCTGACTTGGTGGTAGGATTGAGGCTGTAATTTAAGCTCTCTGTTTAACCATTAACTGTTTCTCACAGCTCTCTGTACTTCTTGGTGTCCGGTACCTACAGACAGCAATGAAGAACGTCCTTCTGCTAGGAGATTTGGAGGGCGAATCAGATGGCTGGTTACTAGAAAACAGCTTTGTGGAAACTGCCAAATACAACATCAATATCATCAAGAACCTCGGCAAAGCCAATCAGATCTCCGCTGTCTCAGGCATGAACGACCCCAACATTGATGTTCAAAATACAAACTGTGGCAAAACCAATGTTACAACAAAATCTATCCCAGCAGCTAGCTAGGCAAGTCTTCAAAGAAATCACATCACAAGTGTAGCGTTGACATATTACAGTATTGCAGTTACCACTGGAAACTAATAAGACAACTGAATAAACCACAAACTGGTGACAGCTCCAAAAACAATGATACTTCTTTGGTTGGATGTATTTTCACATTGTTCTTGTTAAATATCTGATTTTCAACACTGCCCAAAACAAACTTTTGGGATTTTCCTCCCTTTTTTTCCCTTGCTTACATATTTCTGTCATGGTCTGAATATGTCAGAATAATCATCATGCATGAACAAATGTTCCAGCTAGGATGGGTCTACATCTACTTACAGATTCATCATTACTGTCATTACATCTATGGAAATCCCAGCAGCAGGGAAATCCCAAAATAAATTATTACTCCAGATAAAAAGATTCTTTAAAAAAAGACCAAAAAAAAGTGAAATTAAAACTCTTAGTCCAAGTTAGGATAGGGGAATTTTTTGTCCAATTATACATATATTGCAGCCCTTCCAAAAGAACCTGTTAGCTAGATGGAATTGAGTTCAAGGCAATGAAAGTTAGCATAATGTATTTCACTTTTCTTTTTTTATTTCCAAAATAGTCTGAAGTATCTCTTAATTTTTCCTCCTCCATAATTTAGAGAGAGTCAGCTGCCATAGCTCCCTGCAAGCCCATGGGTACTGCTGAAAGGAGTTCGCTGCCCAGGAAAACTAATTAACAGTTCAAGCCAGGTTATTTAAAATTCCAAGTAGCATGTGATAGCACAAGTTTAAAAACAAGCAAATACGTTCCATAAAGCAAATACTGATGATCCTAGATGTTTAAAAGCTCTTAATTTCAAAACTACTTACATAGATCCAGCAGCTGGAAGATAAGGGACTACTTGTAACCAATGAAGGCAAAGACAGACTGACAGGTCTCCTATCACGTTCCTTTATCAGTGCATGGAGCGAAAGCCTTCTACACCAGAGATGCTTGTAGTTACAGGGTGCCCTATGACCGTAATTCATCATAATAGTAAGCAGTAAAAACATATCAATACAGAATAGAGGATAGAAGACCAAATAAAATATTTTACTTGTTGCTGTTGTGAATCATACACTGTTTGAATATAACTTTGGACAGTTTGTGCATTCTTTGTGTATAATCAAGTAAAAGAAGATACATCACCGGGATGCTCAAAGCAGAACTAGTCCTGCTTTTAAAATTGTACAAAATAGTCAAAATTCCTTTACCTGTCTAAACAACGTTGTTTTCTAGAACACTAGAATAAGCAGGAATTATACTGTAAGAATATATCGTAAATAAAGTGTGTGTCATAAAAATGTGTACTGTAATTCAAGCAGGCTATATGCATGATTTCAAATGCAGTTGCTTCACTGCTTAAAATTTTAGGCTTATACTTAAATATCTTAAAGATAAAAAAGGACAGCTAGGGTCTGTCTGCAGTAGTAGCCTGTAGCAGATGTTTTGCAAAAGGCATGTAAGAGACAAAACCACTAAAAAATAGTTCTTTCCCTTGCAAAACCTCCTAACTTCCAGGAAAACAGCAGTTTGGGACTTGGTATGACAAAGAGGGTATTTGTATCACTGTATTTTAATAAATCTCAGTGGACTTTTTTTTTTTCTATGAACTTCCATTGTATTTTTTTAAACCCATTCATGTTTTTGATGTCCAAAACACTTCAACAATGAGCTTCAGATTTTAATTTTCCACAATTAAATTCTGCATTGTTTGAAAAACTGCTTCTCTTTGCTTATTGACTCCCTGAAAATTTGAGTATCCTCTAATTCTTGCTGTAAGAAGTAGCTGATGGTCACTCCTTATTTATTCCCTTCACATCATTCCCCATTTTAGAATCTTCAATTATAATCTCTCTTGGTCCTCTCTTTCCAAGTTGCAGAAGTTGTTATTTAACCTTTTCTTCTATGGAAGTTGTTTCACACCTTTTGATAGTTTTCATCACTCTTCTCCATTTATTATAAATTAACAACACTGCAGAGCTGAAGACATGAATTAAATAGGAAAAGAAATGAACAGAAGACAGAAGACTTAAGAATTCCTATCCTTGCTTGCCCAACTATCCATAAAAATACTAAGGAAATGTTTTATATGAATATAAAGACATATTGGAAGATGTTAGATTTTTCATAGCTACATTGAATCTTCTGTTATTAATTCAGCCACTAAGTTTCCTAACTTCCTAAGTTTTCCTTTTCAGCCTCCTGAAAACACTCTAAATAGGCTTTTTTTACTGAATATCTTTGTATCATTGGTAGAATTTGCCACTTCATAATTCCCCTTTGCCGATCACTTCTGAAAATGCTGGGGGGGGAAAAAAAAGGTGCCGATTTCTGTGGATCTCTGTTGTTAAGCTTCTTCCATTGTGAAAACACACCATTTATTCTTTTACTTTATTGCTGAACTGGATCTTCCTTTTTATCTCATGACAGCTTCTTCTAATTCTATAAGTAAGTTGGAAGACACTATTTAAAGTTTTTTGAAATCTACATTACACTGACTGGCTCAATATTCTCACCATATTCACCGACTCCTTCAAAGAATTTGATTTGTAAGCCGAGATTGCCCTTTACAAGAACTAGGTAACTCTTCTCTTTGCACTGCATTTACCTATGTGTCCGCTTATTTTTTTCATTTCAATCACTTTGTACACTGTGGCATTAAACTTAACTGGTACATAATTCCTTCAACCATTTCTGAGCTTCAAAAACATTATTTCGGCGTCACAGTCTCTTGTGGTGGTGGTTTGGCAGAACACTGAGCATAACCGTGTCCTGAGCATTACCAGCAGCACTAAAATTAGCTGATACATACCAGTAAAAAATGAACACAGAATGTTGTAGTACATTGAGAGATCAAGGAGAAAGGCAGTTATGTACTGCAAATTAATCAGACTTTGCAACAGACTACGATTTTTTTTTTAAATGCTGATTTTTTTCTGTCAGATGAGTACACAAATTGCCACACACGTCAGTCAATAGCGATCACATCCTCAACACAGTTTTAGTCCATCTACATTTGGAAAAACAGTTCTAGATTGCTCAATAACCAAAAGGTGCAAGATAATCACAAATAACTCAGAGAAAAACAAATTATTTCCATAGGAGATTTGTTTCATTAGGAAAAAATTAATCAAAAGAAATATGCAAATTTTTAAAAAGCTTTAAAAATAATTTAAAAAGTGAAGACTGGTTCCACTTGATGAAAATGGTTTTAAAACAAGAAATAAGAGCATATTTTTTTCTTTTAAAGGAAATTTTATTTTGTCTTTTAGGAAATATTTCCTAATGGTAAAACACATTTAGCTGTAGAAAGCAGATGATGCCTTACATCTTGTATCATTTAAAAATCTAAGTCATCTATTTAGCTTGCTCAGTAAGAGCTGTGAGCTTACTCTTTTGATAACTCTCTAGTCGAGGTCTCTGTACAATGGTCTTTGTCAAGAATCTGCTCTGAAAAATACATTTGGAAGGAGGAGTGACCTAAAGTGATCCTCCAGCCCGAGCATCTCTGTAAAGGCACAGAAATTTCAGGCAGCAGTTGCAGTATCACATTAGCACAAAGAGCAGAGGTAGAACTGTCTGGCCACACGTATTCCCCAGTCCCCAGGCAGCTCATTTACTTTCATATGAAGAGAAGACATTTTACCAGAAAAGACTAGTTAATATTTGGCAAGTCAACCTTTGTCGCTCAGCCAACTGCCAAAAAAAAATCCCACCCGGGTTTCCTAGAACATTTAACATTACAGCCACCAGATCAAGAAAACAAACTCGGGTACAAGTACAGACTCCATCTTTAACTCTCCGTAATTTATAAAGACAGAGATGGAATTAGCAAGCCAAGCTTTTAAGCCGGAGCATCTGCTCAGATACAGAAATAAATACGATTTGGGGGACACTTCTTATCCTATTTGTTATTAATGCTTAATCCAGTCAGAATTAATATCAATACATTTGTGCAACAGCAACTTCCAAAGTAAGGAACTCACCCGTGCATCAAGCTGTCTTCTTTATGAAGTTCTTTATTAAAAAAAAAAAACAAAAACCAACAACCAACCAAAGAAACCACTGAAGCTTTTTTTTTTTTTGTTCAGTTTCTGGCGAAGACACTATGACAGTTCCTGTAGAAATTGCAATTATGATGCTCTTCCTTTAGAGCTTTCTGATTAACACTGAAAACACTTGTTCTACACTGATCATAAAGAAAAAATAATGAGAAATATATCAATACAGGACATTTAGAGTTTATATTTAAAAAATGAACACAGCACATTTCCTCAGAAGCTAGAAACCTCCCTTCTGCAAACTGTTGTGGGGTTTTGTTTTGTTTTTAATTGCATACAATCACACAGTTCTCTATAAGACAAAATTAGTGATATTTAAAAATCTTACAAATAATTTGGTCGACATGTGCTTTGTATCAGTTTCCCACTACAGGAGTGCTTTAGGCTCTGCATGCAGTAGTCTGTAGTTTATCAAAGAACCATAAAGACGTGAAGCTCATGGAACACAAGTGGAGTCCTTATTTATGAGAAGACCATCAAATGGGTCATCTAGTCCTGCTCCTGTATGTCACTTAACTGAGGCAGACTGCCTGGAGTACCCGTGCCCCCCAATCCTCTCCCCTATCCCCTGGGAGTGGGGAGGGGGGGGAGGGTGGGGGGAAGTAGGTGAAGGGCTGTGTTGGTTGCTAGCCAAGGGTTGGCCCCGTGGAACTATCATGGGTACACATATCTAACCACTCAATGAAGTTCTGTATAAGTCTGAACTGGGAAAAGAATTATTCCCAGATCATCTGCAGCATCCTGAAATTGACACACATTGGTTTTGCGACTTTCAGTAGAGAACAGCATGATTCACAGAAATAAAAAATGGGATGAAAGAAGATTGGAGACTTTTTATCATCTGGAGCAGATTACTCCTGATGCTGCCATGGTATGTTCAGGATAACCTTCAAGCAGAAACTCCGGTACATTGGGATGAGCTCTCTCCAAGCACCAGACTGTATCCCAATACTTGTAACCCAAAGAGGCTAATGTTACATTTCAGGCACTTTTAAGAGGAAGTAGATGTAACGTTATGCAGTCTGCTGAAAAACATCAGCCACAGATCTTCACAAATATAGCAAGGACTTGAAATGATCATGAAATGCAGTTCCCAGTACCTGCTTCACAATATTTTGTTGAGGCTCTTTCACTCAAGCATGAAGCCTAGAAACCTCCTAAAATTAAGTATGACGCATTCTAAGTTGTTTGACAACCTGTAATTAAATGGCACACACTCTTTTTTTTTTTTTTTTTTTACATGGATCTCGTGAACAATAGTCACACGGAGATAAAAATGTCTCATGTTTAACTTTATACTCACCATTACACAGAATAATGTACATAATCCCTTTGAATTTCAGCTCACTCTCCTTCAATGCGCATTTCCTTGCACAGTTTCTCTTTCATGTACATTTTCAGTCATATTGAATGTAAGTTCAGAGAAATGTAGATAGGACTAGAAATAACTGGGGTTGAGAAACTTGTATAGGAGTGAATTTTCATTATTATCCATGTTTTCTGTACCAAACCCTAAATTTAGCCTACCTGCAAAACAAAAAACAAAAAAACGCCAAAAACCAAAGAAAATTTGTGCCACAGAAATGAAACAACTTTAATTTTTTGAATAAAGTATCTTTGAACATCTTGTCAAGGAATAGGTTAAAAGAATCTAAGTAACGAACTTAAATATTGTATTACACATCGGACTAGTTTACAGTGGAGATGATTCAAGGATAATGTCTAGAAAATAAAGTGGATTTCAACCACAAAGCAGAGCATATGATGGGCAAAACCCTACCCTGTATAATTTTGTACATTTGTACATTGCACCTTGAGATTCTTACTACACAAAAATGGTGCTGTGGCTTTTTTTTTTTCTTCTTCTGCATTTTTTTCCTCCCAATGAATGGGCTTCTTTTTCTAATATTCTTCAGAACACATTTGCTTCTTTTTCTAATGTTCTTCTGAACATTTTTGATAGTACACTTTAATCTACCTTTACTTTTTAAGGAACTGGTCCTTAAAAAAAACATTTGCTTTACTAAGAATAAGCGTAGAGAGCAACACCATTAAAACTCAAACCCTGTAAGATTAATGGTGCCCGAAGTTACAACGAAGCAGTGAGAAAGTGAAGACAGTCAGCAAGAAAGGGGCAAGTAGTACTGGCCATTTCTATGTCAAAGATTTCTTGGCTATTTGCTTAGCTCTGTAATAAAACACTTAAAAAAAAAAATGTAACACAGCACATTAGACCAACACCACAAACTTTCCCTTCCTAGAGCTTAAGTATCTGACAGACAGTTCTTTGAGGAGCTACGAAACCAGAATAACTCAACTCATCAGTTTAAGGACATCTAAACATTAAATTCTATTCATAAGACTTCTTTTACAAATTGAGGTAGACGCTGCAGGAATTTGCATCTGTAAAATACTAGAACAAGTTTCAAGTGGGATATTTCTTTAAATAAGAAAAAGTCTGCCACCAGTACTAACTGGTACAAGGATGAGACAGACTACAAGGATAACTGGTATTGTTTACCAACCATTTACTAACTCTTCCCCTTTTCCATACTGACAGATGCTGCTATAAGTGCTCTTGTAAAATGAACTGTGAAGTGTTAAAGCACCTCCAAATAAAAACCGAATAATCTATGAGAAGTTACTTTATTTCCTTTCTTTAAATATACATATACAAGATATTTTATTTCAAAAGCACAAGAACATTATACAAGTTTCAAATTTACATTTTTGCAATTAAAGATACCAATATGTGCATTATCAAATAACTTCTGTCAGCTTGGATGGAACAGAAATCAGTGGCATAAGCATCTTGCGATCACTAAATTCAGATTATACTCACAGTGAACAAAACTGCATAGTAATTTATGAAATGAAAGATGACCACACTAATCAGTGAATGATATGGGAGTCCATTTGCTAAATTAGTATGTGCAAACGTACAGAAAGATACAACCTTCCTCTCCCACTTCTTCAGCTACAAAGAGATTTCTAGAGTTTTAAACATGAGCTCACCTGCTCAGACCAGCTCCTGACCTTCTATACTACAGTTCAGACAGAAAACAAAATAAAGTGATCTCACTGCATATTTGATAACGGAATTTTTGTGTCAGTGAAGTGCAAGGTAACTGAAAGTTTGATAAATGAATAGGTAAATATCAGAGGGAAACAGTAAGTGAATACAGTTTTGGTATCAATGAGGCATACATTTGCTAGTCTTAATCCAATATTTTTTGTTGGCAAGAAGTGTTTTGATGACCTTAGGAATCGCCCATGCACGCAAGTTTTCATGATAACTGTTCTTCTAAATTCAGTATGCATTTGAAATACATTTTAGAGAAGACTAACAGAATTAATATTTGTCTTTAAAGAGTTTCATATTCAGGTTTAAAATATGAAAGAATCAAAATAAGGAGAATGGTCTTAATTGCAAGAAAGAATACCTGAAAAATATACCAAAGCCAACAATTTATATCACCAGGGAAGGATTATAGCCAAACTTATTTAAAAAGTATTTGAAATCAGGACAATATTTGAGATCATTTGTATTCCATTTTTAGATGAGTTATGGTGCTGTTCAGTGCACTCATACGTACTCTAAAAACTTTAAAAAACAGGAGAACAATTATATTTAAATCTAAATCATTAATTGTGATTCTACTATCTCTCATACAATCAGTAGAAAAAAAATAAACAAATGGTACAAAAACACACACTCAGACATTAATTTGAAAACCTCCCCTTGCAAGTGTTACTCAAATGACACAAAAGAATCCAAATAGCAAAGGGGTGGGGAAATTTAGAGTACTGACAACTTCAAACTTTCACACAGAAATAGGATTTCCTAGGAAAGCATTTTCACCCATCACAAATTACAAATTCTCTCATGTATATTACGGCTGAAATTCAGAAAAAGAAACATTTAGAACTGAAGCACAATCACATATCATTGAGAGAGAGTTCAATCACAATGTGCTATTAACTACTGAAGGGCAAAGAGACAAACTTTGTCACCTTTTTTCCCTTTTCTAATCTAAATGGCACTGAACCACAGAACATGCCTCCCAGAAGGGCATGTTCACACACTTTCAAGGCAGGGCTCCAAACAATAGTGACAGAGGATGAAGAGTGGAAGACTCCTCAAATATGGGCAAACCAAATTATTTCTGATTCTGAGACTTGCTGCTTTTGGGCCTTGATTTTAGTCCAGTGATAGCTTTTAAGCTTTTTTTTTTTTTTTACCATAAGTCTCTGGCTCTTGTATCACTTGCAGAGCTACACTACAACTACCAAACAGTATTTTCATGTTTGGTTCTCAGGGAAAAGTCTCAGGAGACAAACTGTAAAAGAAGTAAAACGAACCACAACCTAGCCAAATGGTGTAGCCCCAGACCTCTTAGGATATACAACATTAAAAGAGGACAAATTCATTAGATAAAGTGCAGTTCTGGTAATGCAAAAAGCACAGACTTCATTTTTTGATGCAACAAGCAAGATGGTAATTCCCTCATGCACTTTCTATCCTACACTTCTCCTTTAAAGAGTTCATTAATGAAAACTCTTCATTAAATCCTAGGATATAGCTGAATGCAGGCTTTTTCTGTACAACTTAATGTTTGCTGTACCTGTTGCTACAGATTACTAAAGGCCTGGCACCACTTCCACTCCAGTACCATGCCACAGATTTTGACCAATTTAAAAGCTTTGCTAAGCCTGGGAAAAGAACCCAGGAAGAAAGTAGAGGTGGCTTTTCCACAGCAACACCATTTAGGTATATTCTCAAGGCATGGAAGAGACAGAAATGTGGTATGTGCCCTGAAGCACAGCATTTGGGAAGTTGTCCTTGTCAAAACATGTGAAACAATTGCAACTTCTAAAAAAAAATGGAAATATTTCTGGACCTGAATATTTAGGAAGAATTATATAATGTGGTTTTCCTTTTTGTGAAGACAAAAAAAAGCGCACCAAACATATGACGTGAGATTCTGTTTCAATGTGTCAGTAATACATCCAACCTAGAGAACCCACCACTTGTGTCTGAACTACAGATTCCACTTGAGATTAGATTATTTACTGCCACCCTCCTTTCCTTTTCCAAAGCACTGCCAAAGATAAGAGTTTTCACTAAAAATCAAGAGATTCAAAGCAGTTGCCAGTTGAATCCAAAGAAGATCTGATTCGTTTCTTGGCTCCTGGCAATCTCCTCTATGATGCAGTGTTGCTGCCATAGCAGATGGAGCTTCCGGTAACGCTCCCGACACAAGTGCAGGGGATTGCCTCTTCTTCATAGAAGAAAAAAAGAGAATACCCAATAAGCATATCAGAATAGCAACTGACAAACTGTTCCGTTAAAAGTCTAGCATTAACATTCTTAACAATAGCCAGGAGATAGAAAACACTTGTAGGAACTCCATCAAGTCTACTGGAAAATAAAAAAAATTCTACATGCGACAAGCGATGACTGCCATTTCCAAGACGATATTTCAGCAGTGGCAGTTGTTGCACATTTCTGGTACAGAGTATTCTTGATAAAAGTAAGGAAGTTTAACAGTACCAAAAAAGTGTATTTTTCCATTATGAATGACCCATTCATGACTAGAAACTGCCATCAGGAATTTGAAGTCAAAAAGTTCACCAGGCCAAGACACATATTATAGTACATTACATGCTAGCAGGAAGAATGTGTTGTCTAACAGGTGTAAGAAAGAAAGAGATATCAAAATGGAAATGTAGAAAGAAAGTCAAACATTTACTTACTTCAGACCTGGATCTGTTTCTCCATATTCATCCAAGTAGGGAGCAGGATATAAGCAGCCCCTGGTTTTACCTTCAATGAGGACAACTTTGCATTCCCTAATTCTTAAGGAAAAAAATAGCTACATTTAAAATAAAATGCAAGTCTCAGCAGATTCTTAACTTTTTGGTGGGCTATATTTTAGGTCAAAGCAATATTTCCTCATCTCAGACAAAAAAGTGCTTTGACAATGTTGTGAATTTTGACCTTCAAATATTTCCCTTTACTCTTTAACACTTTAAAATCTGGCTGGCTACTTACTTGAGAAACATACAGACTCCAGCTCCACATTGAAGAGCATGAGAAGTACAGGCTCCCAACTCCTCCCCATTCACCAGTTCCTGACAGCAAGTATTCTGGGAACACAACATAGCCCCACAGAATAAACACAACACCGGATGTTTTTGTTCATCATCAGAAGACCGCGGGCATCTAAAAGAAGTGCAACCAGAACGTTAATGCAGGAATTAAAACTTTAAAAGAACTGTTAACTGTGGATAATGTTCCTTAAAAAACAACAAAGAACTCCAACCCACAAACAAACAAACAAAAAAATTTAAGACATACTATGTCATAATCACATTTCACATATCTGCCTCCTTTTGCTGTTTTCACATTGCTTGAAATATTTTATCTGCAACTGGCAAATACCTGATTTGAGCAGGAGGTTGGACTAGATGATCTGCTGAAGTCCTTTCTAACCTGAATTATCCCATGATTCACTCTTCCTGGCACAAAATAATGCCAATCTTCTGGGCTTGTTGTGTCCCATGTGAAAATAAATGTCAGGCTCATGGCTAAACTAAATGCATGTTGCGCTGGTGAAAAATGACCAGCAGATTAATCTATAATAATTTCATGTGCTATCCTATCAAACACAAGTGCCACAATTTAGTAAGCTGTTGTGTTTCAGATTTAAAATGAACACATGCTAGTATTGGCCAGGATAATCATAACAGTGCATTCACTTCTGCAAAATAATTTCTGTATGTAGTTTTAACACCAGTTACAGGAACTGCAAGAATATAAAAGTGACTAAAAGTGACAAAACACCTGGGAGGACAACTAAATAAGTCACATCTTACCTAAACTGAGAGGCTTGATTCAGAAGGCAGCTATAGTCTTCAGGAAGCTCTATTAAACTATTTCTTTTCCTAGGATACCTGGGAACGTGAAAAAGAACTATTACAAGAATAATAAAGATCACAGCAAAGAATAGAATGGAGACCTATAAATTCCTGCTAAGCTTTCAGTCCCTTCTGCAAACTTCTGCAATTCTTCAGTCCTAGAAGCCCAAGTGACAGGCTCCACATGGGAGCTTCAGTATTTCTGTACTCCAGCAAAGGTGACAAATTAAATTTCATATGTAACCTACCTGTATGAAGATATTTCATATTTCAGTTAGCTTTTCTTTTTTCCTAGAGTAAGCTAGATAACTTGTCAAACAATGTTGTACATTCTCAATGAAGAGTCACTGCATGAGGAATGATACACAACCACTCAAACAGAAATGTACTTTTGGTGGTAGAGCAGAAGGAAGAAAATACAAGCACTCTAACTTGCTCACAACTAGCACTTCATTCTTTCAAGAGTTTTAAGTCAAAAACAACAACAACAAGAAGCTTACCTTATTGCAATGGTTTTCCCCTTCAAACAACTTAACACCACTGGGTCAGCACACCACCTATTTCAAATAAACATTTGTAGATGACAGTGTTTGATAATAATATACATATAGGATCACTGAACTAAACTAGTAAGTGATAAGCAAACACAGAGCACAGATAAAGCACTGACAGTTCTAGCTAAAACTTCACAAAGAGAAACAGCTATGCTTTACAGTTTTGCTTCAGGAAAATAATTTAAGTTTTTACACAAGAGAAAAACCTATGTGAAAAACAAAAACACTTAAAATTATCAACAAGCACATGAAAACACAGAGTTAAAAGATTCAAGCAGTCTACAGACATAATCAAGTTCTCAAAGTGGGCTACAATAAACAGCTCCTTTTGGAATGTATCTGCTGAAAGTCACAGCATAAGAAAATATCTGACTCTACTAGGAAAATATTTATTGCTTTTATTTGATAACCATCACCCAATGGTTATTTTACAATGCTTTGTTGCATGCTGTATGCTTGCTTTAAAGGACCAAATGTGTCTACCAAAACAATGGCAGATATTGGCAAGTTCCTGAGCAGAGGAATTGGTAGGTCTAAGATCTTTTAAGTTACTTCTACAAAAAAGAGGAGAAGGGAGAGAGAACTGTAGCAGATGGTCAGTCTAGCAAGCTTCGTTTAACATATTTCTCAACAATCATCAAATTTAGTCTTCTGAGATAAGATTCTCTCAAAAAACATATGGGAAATAGCATGGTGATTTGACAGCTGTTACTATTACATTAAATACGTAGCCTCCTACTTGAAACCTCTGTTTTTGACTGGGAGCACTAGGATGGATTTGTTAGCCCTGCCTCTAGTGACCGTTCTCCAACGTTCACAAAAACCTGTTCTCTGCGTTCTCTTATAAGCACTGATATGTCTTTGAGCAAACATGTAGGAATGTGTAAGACAAACTTATTTAACTTGTGAACACGCTATAAATTTAATAGTAATTATATAATTACTAATGCAATTTATTACAGTAAAATTGTATGTAGGGAACGGTTTAGGGTCAGCTACATGGACTGTAAGTTGGAGTCAACAGCTCAAAACAACCCTAAATTGAAGGAATCTAGACAAGGAAACAGAAAAGAGGTAAAACAAACAAACTGCCAGAAAAAGCTACTGTGAGCCAGAGAATTCTGCCAAGAACCCAGAATAATAATTAACGCAACCAAGTGCTCAAACAGTCACATTCAATATATGGAGACATTCTCCAACACAATATATCAGGATTATCCCGGGGGGGGGCAGGCGGGTAGGGAGTGTTTATTTTAAGTTGTGTTTTTGAATGGAGAGTTTTACTAATGCTTTCTCTACTGCTAGATTGCAATGTACATAATACTCAAATTGTACCTTTTAACCATTAAGCTAACTTCAACATTCATCAGTATATTTTGGAAATTCAGAGAATAAATAGTTCAAAAGCATTATGTTGAGAACTACATTATTTTCCATATTCTCATTTTATAGCTCATGTCATCAGCATTTTTGCTACAGACTGATTAAAAATAGGCCAATGAACAGCAAGTGGCATAGCATGCAAGCAAAGGTTTATAACATCTTTCTGCATGAGTGATTTCATGTAGGTCTGCAAGCACTAATCCCTTAAACTATAATTGTTAAATGTTCGATTTACCATAAAATATAGCATGTTTTGTGTTACTGAAGTGCTTTAAGAGATTGAGTATACCTGCACACATCACCCAAATGTTTAGAACTCTAGTAGGAATTTCAGCTCAATCATTTATTAACAAATTACATCCAGAATTTCCATAGGGCTATCACAACAGAAAAACATGGCCTGTCCAGTCCTAATTAGTACCTTTGAAGCAGTGGATTTACTGTGTCCCAATATTCCTGGAAGAGCAGGAACAAATTGGTAGGTAGACAGAGGTAACTACAAAGTGCCTTGAATTGCCCTTCTTCAGAAACTGCTAAAGAAAAAGAAAACATGAGCAACTGTCAAAGTGTTTCAGCACTGCTGAATAATTCACTCAAAAATAGAAATCTCCTGATCCCTTTTCCATTGAATAGTATGTGTCTTACAGTTTCAGCATAGCTCCTAGCTAGTACAATTGGATGTAATTTCACTGACTTAATCAGAGCTGTAACGATTTGCATTAGCCAAGGATCTACTTTAGGTTTATAAAATTTGACATATATTATTAGGCAACTTTTGTGTTGTGCATAAGTCACAGTAATAACAGAACTCCTTGCTTAAATTCCATTTAACTGCGTAATACGTAACACGTTAGTGCAGCAGATTTCTGTACTTACCACATTTTAGCTTTTCCCTATCCTTTTGGCTGGCAATGACATTAAATTTTGCTGTGATCAAGTCAATGTTAACACATTACATAAAGTTAGGCTAATTTAATAGTTTGCCAGGTGGTCATTTATTGGCTCTGCTACAGAAAATGGCATTGCTGATTCACCAGGAAGATTCCTCCCTATAGAATCAAAGTTCCAGACTAATGGTAAGTACAAGAGCATATCCCAAGGGCAGAGATTTTGACTCTCTGTGTTGGGTTTTGGGGGGAAGAGGGGGCCGCCGTTTTTGGTAGTGGAGGAAGGGGCTACGGTGATGGACCCTGTAAGAAGCTTTGTGAAGCTCCCCTGGTTCCAAGGAGTACCCACCTCCAGCCCAGGCTGAGCCAATTAACAACAGAGAAATGCCTCTGCCAATCCATATTTGTGAGGTTGAAAAGAAGAAAGTGGAGAGAACCTGGAGGAGAGGCCATTGACCTGAACAAAAGACAACCATCAGCCTAAACGAAGAGAGAGTTTCCTTGCCAGAAGGGAGGAGGGGGAGCAGCTCATGGAGGTTACACGGTGGAGCAGAGACCCACCATGGAGGACTCTGCGCTGGAGCACAAAGCTGAGCCCAAGGACAAGTGTAACTGAATTTAGACCCCAAAGACACTCAATGCCAGAGCGGGAATGGACCCCCAGACCCAGGGGATGAGGAGGCATGCTAGACTGGAGACCTGTCTGCAGCCCGTGGATGTCCCCATGCTGGAGCTGGGAGCTGAGCCTGAAATGCTCCACGACTCCATGGGAAGCTCACTTTGGAACACTTTGTTCCTGGACTTTCATGCCTGGAAGAGCAGCAGAGGTGAACTGACTGGACCCCCATTCCCTGTCCCCTGTGCCGCTGTGGGGAGAGAAGGTAGAGAAATCAGGAGCAAAGTGATTTGAGCCCAGGAAGAAGGGAGGGGTGGGGGGAAGGTGTCTTAAGATGCGGTTGTTATGTCTCACTATTCTATTTGGATGATTGGTAATGAATTAAATTGATTTTTCTTCCCCAAGTTGAGTCTCTTTTACCCGAGACCATAACTGGTGAGTGAGCCCTTCCTGTCCTCATCCTAATCCATGCCCCTTTGTTGTGACTCCCTTCCCATCTGAAGTGGGTGCAGGGCCACCTGGTCTTACCTGTGGGTGAAACCACCACTCTCGTATATCCTAATCAAATTCAAACTTAGTTCACAGTTTATATAAATCAATTTAAGATGCTATATTTTGTCTCAGTCGTTCATAGCCATTTTGGTTGTCCTTTCCAAACAGCTGATGATTCTGTGCTTCAGTGCATTTGGACAGGAGACAAAATATCCATTTTTGGGTTTAGTATCATAACACATAAACCTCTTCCTTAAAGGATCTTAAAGTTTTATGATATGCTTTATTTTCACTTGGCTCTGTTTTGCTGAATCCCTGTGTCTTTAGCATTTACCAACATTAGCAACTGCACAAAAAGGTATGGTTTTTGTTCTAAAATATATTCCAGGCTATTTCTCAGGCAATGTAATCTAAGTCCTCAGATTTATGCTTAAATCACAGAATCTTTATATCCACAAATACTGACTATCAATACATCATTGGTAATTCACTATTTGCACATATTCATAAGTAACCCTTTTCCATGCAAAGAAGGCCAAAACAACCAAGATTCTTAATTTCCTGCCCCTTCCCTATACAAATCAGTATTTCCTTTTCTTTCCAAGTCTTACTTCAATGTATTAATTCTTGTTAAGTTATTGTGAACATTTAAAAATTCCCCTTCTTCCAAGAAAGCAGTAAACAAAGTCAATATATAGATACATTTGCTTTTTCATATTTACCTTGTAGTAGTTCCTCAGGTGGAGAAACTCCCAGCAAATAATGAAAAAATAAAGCAGCACAACGAAGGTAAGGCATGATGCCTTTTTTAACACAGTCCCACACAAGCCAGCCTGGAATATCCTGACTAAAGCAGCTGTAATACACAAATGAGAAAGTTGCAGTAGTTCACAGTACAGATCCTTCTAGCACTTTCATATTTTGGCTAGCACTGGTAGAATGTCAGCTGTGTAGAAGCAACACTGATGTACACCATATTCTGTGAAACACAGCCACCGGCACTTAACTTCTGACTTTCCCTTTGCCTAGGGAATGAGTACTGAGTTTATGTAGAACACTTACTGTAAGCCTTCAAATTATCTCAACTTATATTTTTCAGAATTATAAAAAATAAATAGCCAATACATAGCTGTCCATCTCTAGGTAACTGAAGATAACCTGATTTAAACTGTGCAATACAGCATCTCACAGAGGACTTGATTCTTATACTGGTTGTTTTTTACTACTGTAAGGCAGCAATTTTTTGAAATGGTGAAAGATTTTCATTCAGTTGGTGATCAAACAGGCAAACATAAATACTCTTCAGGAATAACAAAACCAGCAATATTAAAAAAATCAATACCTCATACTTCATTATGGAAGTCACAACAGTCACACTCAGAGTTTTTAAAATAAAGTTATACTAATTCCATTTTTGACAAAAAATACTGGAGTGATACTCATCTCAGTAATAATTCTTGTAGTCCGTGTGATACAAGCATTTAGTCTAAATTTCACAGTAAATTTAACTTACTTAGAGTGTCCGCATTTTCTAAAAATGTTAAACTTAGTTAAATTCACATTTCTGTGAACAGGCTGTTCACACAAATGCTGACCAAGATCTGCTGAAGAACAGCCTGTAAAGCTGTATCATAATAATATAGACCATTGCAAAATTATTATGCATATTGTGCGGTTTAAGGACAGATAGGTCAGAGTTATAAGATGACAATGCAGACAGAAATAGAAATACTAAAAGCTTTAGAGCTGGGTTGCCTAAACTTTGGCATTTAATTCTGCACCTAGGCATCTCAGTACAGTGACCAGATTTTCCAAAATGCACAGCACCTATGATTCTAAGCTCATGCCTCAGAAAAATTACTCCTATTATTTAAATACCAAACTTTAAATACTTAGAAAGACTTAAAAATTTCAGCCAAGTGGGTAGCATTGTCAATCCTTGAGAGACATATCTTTTCAACTAAACTTGGTAAAGATAAGTCAAAGCAGAATTTGTAGAGGGTGCACCCATATTTTCTAGCTTATCTCACACAGATACTGAAGTACTAGTCTGCAGCTACACTTATCAAAAACATTTGAAAAGATGAACATTAATGCTCAAACAAATAAGCAACTGTGTTTAGCTTTACACTTCTCTCTCTCCTTTTATAGTACAACATTTCCTTCTTTCTGGCTTTCATCTATAATTAAGAGACCTAAACAAAAAAAAAAACCAATCAAGGCAAACAAAAAATAACTACTATAGTTAGCAGTTGTATTTCTTTCCAGAATAGATATAGGTATTTTTTCCACCCTTAGTCTAAAAATTTACTGTGTTGTAGAGAAAAAGTAGCTATGTTACCTGAAAGTGTTCCTTTCACCAGTTTTTTTTTTGTTTTTTGTTTTTTGTTTTTCTTCAATGTTCAGGAGCTCGGGAAGAAAACACAAGACATTGTGCTAACTTCCCATAAAAAATTGATTTTTTTTTTCCTGTTCCCTGTGTTGTTCGGGTCAATCCCCATGGATTTCCATCTTCCTACAAAAACGCAATGCTGTAACTGAACTGCTACTTACCCACTGGTGTACTGGCAAACCTCTCTACAGAAGGACTCTGCAGACCGTGCCTCCTCACTGTCGTCAGATGATCGAGCAATAGGGGATTCTGCACACAAAAAGATGAATCTCACTGTAAATGCATTTCATTTGTGACAAACTTTTTTTATATATACTGAGCTCTTTTTTTAAAAAAAAATGCATTACAGAAATATTTCCACTTTATTTTGCTTAATTCTTTTCTATTTGCTATTTTTAACCTAACAAATGTTCTCCTAAAACTGCATGCTATAAAGAAGAATCAGGATTACTGCCTCATTGTTCATCCTCCTGTAAAAACTGCTTCCTTCTCTTGAACTTTTGAAGTTATTGTCCTACATAGATTAAGCTACAGGAATTTTTTTTTTTAAATTCCCATCATGCTGAAGAAAAAGGAAAGTAGTAACTAAGAAGCCTGTAGGTTACTGACAGTTTTTAACAGTAGTATGAAATACGGAGAAAAGTGAAATTCTCTCCTATCAGTTTATAGGAGTCTGTATTTTGGCTCTGGGTATTTACTAGGTTGAAGGGTAAATAAAAGTTTATTTCCTAAATGCATTCTAACTGTCACTCTACAGCTCAGATGGCTGCTGCTGGGCAGATCTTTGTTTCACCTACAAGGAGTGAAGAGGGGAAAAAGCTGCCGTTCTGGAATGACTGACTTGAGCAAGTACTGATGTATCAAAAACTATTTTGTTTTCTTAGGCTAAGGACAGAAGTGATATAATAAAAAGTTCTGAAAATGATCTAGCACTATTTATTTTCACCAGAAAACACTTATTACTACCTAGCACTAAGTGTAATTTATTACGAGGAATTTTATACTTGTAAGACACTAACGGTGTCCATCCATTATTTTTAAGAAATTGTGTAAAAATGCCAGAATAATCCAACCCAAACACAACACTACCTGTTGCTGAAGAGACGACAATTTGTGTTATATGTGCCAGTGTTGTCAGATGGAAGAGGTAGAGGTGGTTATAGGCTGAACTAATTGTTGAAGGCTGCAAGTCTACAGCATCCTCCCAGTATAAAGATGGAAAGGATAATACAACTCCCACCTACAAGCGAAAGGGAAGGAGCAAATATTAAAGGAACAGAAATTTGGTAATAGCTACACGAATAATAGAAATCATATTCACACTATACATTTATATTTCATTTCTGTAGTCAATTTAAATATGTTCATTTATCTTGCTGTTTTAATTCACAAAGTGTAGCAAAAACTCATTGGAAAATATTAACCATTTGTGCTCCTCTAGCATGTATGAAACTCAGATATAGTTCCATTGTAACTGCCAGTTTAGAGATACACCAAAAAAGCTCGTCCAGTTCCTAGAAAGCTTGATTTCTGGTTTTTGACATAAGTACATCAAAAAAAGTGAGAAGTGAGACCAAGCATTATTTGGAAAGGG